CGACAGTAAACATTAATTGTTCCCATCCCCAAGGATACTGACATTCATTCTTAACAAGTATGTTACCACCTAAACTGATTCATTTGCATGCATTCCTCAACTGAAACCATTCAGAAACATAATATGCTCCTTCAAGCAGCGTAAAAAAACAAACAATATTTGCAAACACTATATGACTCAAGGCAGAAGTGTTCTCATGCCCCTGCAAACCCTGCCAATATACATGTTTTGTTTATGTGGCGCCACCGCGCACCTTTTGGTTTTTAATGAACCGGAGAGAGTCTATTATTATACCAGTGGCTTAGTACTTTTAATGATGTGCTGATTTAGCCATCTCACCCTCTGTTGCCCCAGGCACGGCCACAGAGACTCTCATTAGCACGATAGCACTCTACCATGTGTCTGCGTGTACTTTTATAAAGACACTCTTACTTATGAACAGGTCGGAAGAGGTTGAATGTGCATGAGTTTCAGATGTGAAATGTGTGTGAGCAGAGAGTTGGCGACTCGAAGGATTTCCCACTGGCATTGCCTGATTTATTTATGCATGTGTCCCAGAGGGGGAGAATGTGACCCTGCGGTCAGCATATGCTCTGTAGTATTTCTCCTCTCTTTTTCTCACCTCGTCTTCCACGTCTCCGTCTCTGCCTAGAGAGACTGAACGATGAGAGTACCCGCAGAACGCTCCTACAGTACTGGACATCACCAGCATTTCAATTAACCACAAAGTCAGGAGTCAGAGGCTGTGTGTTATTGCAATGTTCCTGTGAGCGTAGAATGACTATACGTTAGAGCAAAACCCTGTAACAGAAAGAAGACTGAGGATGACAGATACAGATGACAGATTCTGCTATTTGTTATCTTTTTTTTTTTCTCCATCTGCCACTCTCTTTATCTTCCTCCATCTCTCTCCGGTCCTTTCACAGTGCTGTAACACTCCCCTATGAGTTGTAGAAAGTTATACGCCATCAAGTCCCTCTGATTCGATGAAAAGTGATGTGTGCTGGAAATGGAGCAGTAAATAAATGGTGCTAGCACAGCGCCTGTGTAGAAGCACGGGAAGAGACCCTGTACACGTTGTAGGCAGACTGGATCGATGAACATCACTTTTTGACATGCCTGAGCGAGGGCTTGGTGTGTTTGTGGATTTGTGTGTGTACACGGATGCGTTTGCAGAGGTGTGTATCCTGTTCTGCATGAAAGCTGCCAACTATCCTAGAGGAAGGCAGATGGCTGAGAGGCCAGAGTCATTGAGGTGTTTGTCAGAGTGTGAGAGAGAAGAATCTTCACATAATACATGTATGAGTGTGTGTGTGTCCCTTCCTAGCCAATCAGTTAATCCATTATCATTTACCAGCCTGTCACACCGCTACACCTTGGCTTTAATTGCAGCCAATAGTGAAGCTACTTGAACCGAATTAATGCTCTGCACTGAGCAACACTCAACCACTTCAACTTAACTTTGTTTCTAACCCGGTTTTCACACACTGCAGCACCACAAAGCCCCTTCTCTTCTGTACCCGGGCACTAATGGAGCCTTCCCTCAATTGCAGGCGTTGTCACTGTCTTCCTCTGCTTTGAGAAGAAACCTGCCTCCCCTCCCCTCTCACCTCATTTAGGGATGAGCTTAGATCTCCTGAACATTTTGTGCATGTGTTACAGACTGGGCCCATTTGTGTTTGTGTGTCTATACAGGCAATTATGGGCTGTCCCTCAGCACGGGTTATAAAGCAGAGCTCCGCAGGAGTCTTGTAAGGAGGCCACAGTTGTGTGTGATGTCTGTTTGCCACACCAACATGCAAATCAGGGGCAATATACATGCTAAGCCCAGCCCAGCTAACTATATTCATTTATAGATTAATTTATATTTTTGTGATGTTGACTTGGCTTTTGAGAGTGGTGGAACGTAATACTGTCCTTAAGTACTAGTACTACTACTTAGGTACTAGTCGTGTTGATCTTGCACTCTATACTCTACACTGTAGTCAAGACCCCCTAAACCGAGACCAATTCAAGACCAAGACCACTGTGTATCGAGACCGAAACAAGACCAAGACAGGCTGAGACTAAATCAAGACCAAGACCAGACCAGTGCGGGTCTCACACTGTACGACACTTGTGGAACATTTAAACCATAGCAGGGGTGCAGGTGATAATTCTCTGTGGGTTTGTCACTATGAGCGACCTCTTTCTAATTCGAACCATTGTTGATTCGAAACTATTCATTATAGCTCCTCTACATAGTACATTTTGCTAACGTACAACGTTTCACGAAAAAGATGTCTTCAGTATGATATGTCTACTTTTACCTCACTTTTAAGGCAGTGATCAGAACACTAACTAATACTGAAGTGCACTTGCATACACTTCACTCTACACCACCGGATACATCCGTATTTAAATAATCTCATCACGACTGCAGTCTGTCACAGAATATGGGGCTGTGGGTTGTCAAGGTCACGTCACCTTGACAGCTCATCTCCCCTCTGAATTGTAATTCTGCCGAACAAACTGACAACTAATAGGCCCGAAAAAGCTAGCATGAGATGACTGATGACAACAACACTACAGTGCGAGGCTGCAAACAGAGCTCGACCTGGCTGCTGCTTTTAGGAAAGACTTTGGGCTTTTGGTGCTGACATTAAGCCCCCACTAAGGACCAAGGAGGGAAAGCCCTGGCAGAGATATTCTCTGGCTCAACAGCGAGAAATTCCACTAAGGATAAAGGAATTAGTTTAAAGGCCCAGTGAATTTCGCTCCATTCTCATCCTCCTTTATTGTACTATACACGTCTTTTTTTGTCTTGAATCCTTCATTTGTAAAATGCCATTTTCATAAGTCGCTTCAGTTGATCGCCAGACCGAGACTCCAGGCTAGAGCAAATGTGAATTTGCAGATTATATTACAAAAAAAAAACTGTCATAAAAGGTGCTGTCTAAGAGTGCGAGCGAACTTGGCAACAAAGGTTCAACATGGCTGACATTTTGTGCGGAGAGAGAATGTGCCTTTGGAGATGAAGTGCGTGTCAACAGGACTGCCTCCGAGATGGTCTCCAGTTTGCTGAGTGTGCACACAGTAGGCCCAGAAATATGAGGAGCATGCAGAATGTTGCAGAGTTTCTGGTTCGCAGACTCTCCCCTATGTGTCCCCCCTGAGAGAAACCTATTGATGTGATTCATGGTTTCAGCACATGGTAACTTACAATCAGGGTCTTGTGCATGACGGCTCCTGCTTCTGCTGCTTCTTTGAAAATAAGTTCAAGACTTTTCAAGCAGCACCTACAGTAACATCCTCCCGACCTGCCAGTTCCGCCCCCACACACATTCTGGAGGAGCAGGCTTGGCATGATCTGAAACCCTGCTTTTTGAGTGTTAACAACTATGTAGCTGTGTGTGAATCTGGCAATCTCAGAGTGTGCCCAGGCATCCGCTCTCTGCAAATTACGTATGAGATGTGGATTTAGAGGAACAAATGTCAGCTTGTGTGTTGCCGTTGTACCTCTCAAGCACAGAAATGACACTCCTCACTCTTTCACTGTTATCTTTTCTTCTACTGAAAAAAAGCAAGTCAATAAAAAAAAGGAGATGTTCCCTCTCAAAGGGTTTTGATTCATGCTTTTGTAGTTTGACCCAAGTTGCACTTATATTACAAAAAAGATCTAGAAAAAATGCATGGAGGGCCCAGTCAGCCCTTGTGCATCAATCAAATAGGGTTCCAATACATCCCTGCCCACATAATACAGGGGGTTTCAAACTGAACCGTGGACATTGTGGCCTCAGAACACATAAGAATAAACAGTAGGTTATTCTTTATTTAATGTTAGCCTGGAGGGATAGAAGAAGGATTTGAAATTGCTGCTGTGCTCTTGTAGAGGATAGGAAGGATGCTGGTGAAATGGTATTTCTGTAAAAAGGAGATTTTAGCCGCCAGTTTCAAAGCATCGGCTAACTTGTGCAGAAGTCTGTTAAGCCTCAGTGAGTAGCAGCAGAGTGTGCCCCCTGTTGAAGCACTATGCCTTACTCCAGGTTTGATTCTTTACTCTGAAGACATTCACTTTCCACTTTAGCCACAGATTAAAAACTCACCTCTAATTGATATGAAATGAAACCTGAACATGCTTCAAATCTGCCTTCGGGATAATCAAAATAGTGACGAGATGTCTCCCCTACTTGTGGTGTGATGTATCCCGCAAAAAAAAAATGCATGACTCCCACCAGAGATGTGAATGGCTCAAAATGACCTTGACAGAAGAAACACCCTCGTTCTGAAATCCCTACCTTATAATTGAATCGTCGAGTGTCTTGTTGATTCCATGTAAAGCACTTAGTGACAAACCTGTCTGTGCCAAATAAGAAAAACCTCGGGTGAATATATTTGATTTGATGTGATTGAACACCTTGCTCTCTCTCCGTGTGCCTGCTCTGTCTAATAGCTGGTGATGTGATTACGTTTCCATCAGTGGGAGGCCTAATGATTGACTGTGGTGGAATGTGTTATGTGCGAGTGAGATAAACCTCCCTCTCAAATACTCTGGGTTTGGTTGGATCAATAATTGATCCCACTGGTGTTCTCTTCATTTATAGTACTGAAGTATTTTCAATCATAATGCTTTAGGAAAGATTCCAGGCACTGTTCCAGCTTTTCTTAATAAAGGTGTTGCAGCCTATTGTGAAACCAAGTGGACAGACTTTTAGTCCCATCCTGTGTGAGCTGTTTGTACATTTTCACTGAAACTTTTGCAAAATAAGCTGCAATTCAAAAATTGTGGCATTTGTCAAGGTTGTGTGCTGTTACCAGAGGTATTGTGCATTGTGGTAAACCCAAGCCTCTTCCCTGTTTCCCTTTGCCAAAGAACTCTCCCTATGGTCTGAGATAAAACTCAGCACTACTGCTGGTACCTTCACACGTCCTAATTGGCCCGTCTGTCTTGCCAGGGAGTCTAACCAGTATATATGTGTGTGTGTGTGTGTGTGTGTGTGTTTCTCTGTATGTCCCTGCAGGCTTTGAGCTGCTGTATCAGCCGGAAGTGGTGAGGCTCTACCTATCTCTGCTGACGGAGAGCCAGAACTACAACACCCTGGAGGCCGCTGCAGGGGCTCTGCAAAACCTCAGCGCTGGACAGTGGACCGTGAGTCCAGGGTTGGGGAGGGTAAAACACGTAGACACTATGTCCTTGTCCTTACTCTTATATGTCATTCTTGCAACGTCTGTCCTCGTCATTGACCTTTCAGTAGCATTAATCTTGGATTGTTATTGGAGCAAAAATACAGAGTCTGATGGGAAGCAGAGGAAGCAGAGGCGCTTTAACAAGGTGTAGATGCTCTGTCTCTGTAAACCATAAAGCCACTGTGTAGACTGAAATAAAGCTGAAGATTTGAACAGGGTAGTAGCAGGTAGCTCAAACATTCATCATTAGTGGGATTACAAGACTAGATAAGTGTTAGATAACTAATGTAGACCAAACTTTCATCTCTGTTAGATGTTTTCCTCTGTCGATAGATGATGTGAGAATCTCTAGAGCCAGGATCAGACATTTATTCCAATTACAGTGACTGTGGAGCTGCTGAGAGTCTGTCTGGCTTGCAGGCAGCAGTGAATTATCAACAGGGAAGGATAGTTGTCAGATGCCAGTTTACGAGCAGCACCTCGGGCAAGAGCGGCCACTTGTGTTTTTCAGCACAGGCTGGCTGCATTCAGTCCACGGCAGCATTATCACCGCAGCGCGTCTATTTACACTCCTGTGTCAGACAGTAAAAACATACCTCAGTCCTCTAAATTCATTAACGGCATCTACCTCGAGTAAAATAAACACCTGAACTTTTATTGTTATTTTAGTTCGAGTCCTGAGTCTCACAACTAGTGAGATAACTAGTGTAACAATTCAGTAGTGGTTTTCAGCTCAGGTGAGCATTTTGAGAAGACATCCTTCTTTCGTTTCGTTTTTAATTTTTCCTGTCGGAGCTGATCAGAATGTCTGGCGAGGCTCAGGAACCTGTGGAGCAGCTAACCCATCACACTGTCACATCTGGACAAAGCTTGCCCCTGCTCCCTGGGAGGATACCGGAGCTGCTTCTTTAAATCCTCCTGGTTCTTTGCTACTGCTCAGTTCTGTACCACTGGATTGAGCTGTTTCTTAAAGCTTACTACTGCCACCTGGTGGTTCAGCTGTGCCCGTCCTCTGCTTAATTACATCTCTTGGGGTCCCAGTGCTTAGAAGATAAACCCTTTTATGTCAAACTTAATGTTTCATGTTTCAAAAAAACGAGAAGTAAAATCTACTGATGTTTAAATTAGGACAAATTATACCACATGTCCATTCAGAGCCCCACTGTGTAATGTTGTGAATTAGTCCAAGTTCAAGGAGCAGTGCTGAGCTCTCTTGTAGGTAATGACTGAATGATAGGGCGTGTGTGCATGTATGGGTTGTGTGTGAGCATGAAGGCATGTATAAAATATGTCCTCATGGAGGATAACCTAGTGGAGCTACGTCAAAAGACAAGAGGTGTGGTCATGCTGGGCTGCTCCCAGGTGGGAATCTGTAGCTTTGCAGGAATACCAAACAGGCAGTTACTGACAGTGTGTGCTCACTCAGCCTACCCTATAGGTCAAAAGTCGAAATTATAAAAAAGCACTCACAACGTGCCCTCTGTCTGCCCTCCAGTGGTCCAACTACATTCGAGCCACGGTGCGTAAGGAGAAAGGTCTTCCCATCCTGGTGGAGCTGCTGCGCTCCGACTCCGACAAGGTGGTCCGAGCTGTGTCCATCGCCCTGCGCAACCTGTCCATTGACCGCCGCAACAAGGACCTGATCGGTACAAACCATTAGCAATACAACACACACTGATTCAAGATCCAAATTTTAAACAAATATAGTGGATCGTTACTCTTTGTGCTACAACCAAAACATAGCTCCTTAAAGGATAAGTTACATTTTTCCTCAAACAATACTCACATGTCCTTACGTGCACTGAAAGAGTTCTTGGTGGCTGTTAGTCTTCCTCCTGACCATACCAGCCACAAAGAGATCCCTTCCCAAAGAGATTCCATTGGAAGAGATAACGGACAGAATCTGCAGTCATCTGTGAAAAAAAACACTTCAACATTCAGTCAAAGCTAATGTGAGGCTTCAGCTGTCTGATTTATTTAAATCAAGTGGGTATCTGTACACTAAAATTGAATCAGGTTTTGAACATTTTGTTTTTGTGCCTTTAAACATTATTACCAGCACTTTTACCAGTTAACCTTATAAACAACTTTGCCTTACAGGAAGTTATGCCATGCGGGACTTGGTGAGCAACTTGCCCAGCGGCCAGCAGCGACCAGCCAAAAACCTGGAGGAGGACACTGTGGTCGCCATCCTCAACACCATCCATGAGATTGTCACTGACAGCTCCGAAAATGCCCGCTCCCTCGCCCAGGCTCAGGCCATTGAGAAGCTGGTCGCCATCAACAGGACTAGGTAAGACTCTACAGTACATCACATAACAATGTCACTTAACAACATGTAAACCAGCAGACTGAATTATTTAGATTGATTTATGGTTGTAAGTCGGTTTGTATTTAGGATTTATTGTATCTATTAGGCTACTTTTTACTCATAGGCGGCCCCAAAATGAACATGCACAATCATAGCGTCAACACTGGCAGAACTGTTCGCCTTTTTATCACAAAATAATCCGCTGAAAGAATGCATAGTTTACCCAAACACAATTATCTTTTCTTATCAGTCCATGCCAGAAGTGTGGATTTATATGGAGACATCATACATGTAATAATGAAACAATGACCTTGAATGCAATTTGCCTCGTGATCCTTAATATTAGTATTCATGGAGGATAATGTGATATGTCTCTAATGGCCCAAGCTTGGCAACCACAATACTATACTCTAACAAGCCTGAGCCCACACAGACACACCACCGCCCACCACACATGAATTAACAGGCTTTTAGAAGTGGAAGGCAGTGTTATAGGGGAGAACCTCTGAAGCTTCTGCTCCTGCAGGTAAGAGAGTAGCCGTTCCACTAATGCCCGAGCTCTCCACAACAACCTGGTAATGAAAACTAACAGATATCTTTAAGAGGTGTCTTATGTTGCCACAGTGTTAACCATTCCAAACTGAAGTGCGTCTGCACCCCACTTTTAATTCAAGAGCACTTTTCAAAGGCTCGTCCTTGTGTGGGATTGAACATACGGAGAGTCGCTCTAACTCGCGTGAATATACATCGTTCACTCACAGACCAAATAGCTTCATTTCCTCGGACACACATGAGATTAGCTTTCTTTGAAGTGAGGCCCCCACCCACATGTAATTATTACTGGTAGCTAATGAAAGGAAATGTGCACTCATGCTCCAGACCCTGGAGCCTCTCAGGGGACTTGACATCTTTGAATAAAGAAATTGATTCGCACGCTAGCATACCCAGGCGTCACTGTACACTCGTCATATATTTCCCCCTTTCTTGTGGCCCCCTCAGCCAATCAGCTCGCGAAACCAAGGCGGCGTCCCACGTGCTGCAGACGGTCTGGAGTTATAAGGAGCTGAGGAACGCTTTGACCAAGGACGGCTGGAACAAAGGCCACTTCCAGGTACAGAGCTGTAATCTTGTGGGAGCTATCCTTCACATATAATCTGGATCCTTAGTATTGTTGTTGTTGTAATATCAGGTTCTTAAAGAATATTACTTAAACAATTACAGACACTAAATGTTTATAAGAACCACTTTACTATTAATGAAGTGTCCCACTAAGAGAGTATTTGCATGACAAGAAATATTGGTAGCATCATTAGCCACTTATCATTGTGTAAAATAATTGGAGATGAAGCTGCTGAGTACATTTTTCAATTCAGTATGTCTAAGCTTAAGGTATTTTAAATGTTTGCATCCTTCTTCTTCTCTCAGCCCACGACAGCAACCACCCCTAAAGCAACCAAGAACGGCAAGCCAGGCTACGACGACACCACCCTGCCCCTGATGGAGAAGAACCAAGGTCAGTTAAGAGTGTGTGTGTGTGTGTGTGTGTGTGTGTGTGTGTGTGTGTGTTTGTGATTGTTGCTGTTTTCGCCTGTTTAGAGGACCAAGTAGGTGGAATAAGGGTGAAAAGATCCCAGGGCTCCTCAGCAGAATGACAATAAATGTTACTGTTATTGTATTGACTCAAAGGTCCAGTGCCTAACCAAAAGGTGAGGCTGGCCATATTCTAGATTTCGAAATCCTGCGAAAAGACCAAACCCAAAACATGTTTGTCCGTCTCTCAATACATTGTGACTTCACTACCCTGTCTGTGGCTTTCATCCCCAAGCCCATTGGTTGCTGCTCAAGACGTAAATCTTTTAAAAACAGGTCATGAACAATAATTTCCATTTTTAAAAAAGATCTAAGAAAACAGCTAGGCCCTGTAGTATTTAGCAAATGTTACTCCAGGGGAAATCATTTTTCATTTTGTGGAGAGTATTTTCAGCTATTGATGAATACAAAATGTGGTGCTCTAATGAGTGTTCTTAGCAACAAGACTCAGGATTGACTCAAAATTAACTTTAGTGCACGTGTTCATCATAACAAAGGAATATGTCGTTTATGTGTTATGGAGGTCTGTAGCAAAGATGAATAAGAGATATGAGACTTTGACTACACAGACAATACTTGTTTTGCAGGCTAAACTAGTTTTCACAGGATTTATTGACAAATAAAAACAATATAGAATCAGATTTATGTTATGGTCTGTCAGTGATGGGATAGAGTACACAAACCTAACAGTATCACACCCGTATAGTCCTCAAAGCAGGTTTAAACACAATACTAACAGGAGCTCGAAAACAGTGTGTGATTGTGTCCAGTTCGTCTTTTTTTTTTTTCTTCTCATGGCTATATTGAAGCACTGTGCTTGCCACGATACTACTCTCATCCTCTGTGTGGTGAAGCTAAGGTGGGTTATATGTATAATGATGTTTCATAGGGGTCAAAAGTAAAGTGCATAAAATGGGAGCTGGAGCTTTGAACAGCATACTGCTGCTGTTTTAACCCTCAACCCTCAAAAAGTTGGTGTTGACGGAATATAAAGAAAAGTCCTTGTTTTGTGTTTGTGTTGTGGGTTTTAAATTGACGTAATGGGGTCGGCGATATTGGAAATTTCCCCACCCTTATGTAACTGTGAATAGCTGCATCCACAGTCAAAGAACTGGGTTGGAGGTTTTCTATAACAGCAGCAGTATATGTGGGGGAGGGGGGGGGACTTGTGCAGTACATTGGCCCAACAACAAACATCTCTTTGACAGAGGAGTCAATAGCATCGCCGCAGTTTAATGTCCTGATTTTTGGACTTGTGCCCAACTATTTTTTGCATCCATACATGCACATGAAACGCGGCACTCATTGCCTGCCCACTCTCAGTTTGCATTATTCGATCACTGGCCGAGAACCATTACCCTGAAAAGCAGCAGCGTTTTGGCTCAATGACTCAGTCTGTGTGTGCGGCATTTTTGTACAAATGGCATATGAATGCTTTTCAGGCACCAGGAAATGTTGCAGTGGTGATATGATACCTATGGATGAGCTGGGTCCAGGTAAGAGCCAGACTGCATGATCATCCTTAGCCAAAGGAGAGCTAGCTCTCCTCTAATCTCAATCCAGTGTCCGACAGTTATTTGGTTCAACGTCTCTCCTACTCGTTCTTTAACCGTTGCCAAGATGTTATTATCATATTAAAATTCAAACCACTGAACACTCTGATCTCGCTATGATCACTTCAGACATGAAGCTCTTTGATGCTGTATGCAAGACCCCTCTCTTGACAAGATGTTTGTACGAAGCTGGCCTTCATTAGAAGCTGAACAGATGTGGGTGGTTCTCCACTCTTAATAAAAACACTCTTAATATCTCATATGGCAGAGCTCCTCTGCTGTGAACCTTTTCAAGTAAATGTTCCTGCTGCTGTTATTAATATAGAACTGCAACTCTGATAATCTCTCTTTTTTTTAAAAACTTTTTTAGAATTTTAAGTGACGAAGTCGCTTTTTAAAGGGATTTTTTTCACACTCTTACCCAAAGCCCATTGTGGGGGGGGGGGGGGACATTACAGAGCTGGAGGAGGGGGTTAATATTCCACAGGGAATATTCCGAGAAAAACTCTTATTCTCTGAGATTATAGAGTCATACATTTACAAGAAAGAAATGTTGAAAACATTTTGTTTGTGAGTTTAATCTTTTTTAAACGTTTTTTCCTCCGGATATTACCCCTCTCCCCCGGCTTCTTAATTGTATTTATTTGTATTTATTTTTTTGCCTACGATGGCCCTAGTACGCCGTCGCACTCTTAGGGTATATCATGCTGGTTTTCCTACAAACCTCTGGGTCCATATTTATTAAGTGTCTCAGCATCCCTCCAAGGAATTGTACTTAAAGTTAAAGTACGACTAAAACTACTCTTCTTCTAAGTAGGAATTGTATGAAGCTTCCTACATTGACTTTGAACAAGAGGAAGGACTTCCAGGAGAGAGTGCGACGTCACTCTTTTACAACATTCAGAACTTTTCAATAGAATATTTGATGGCACACAGTAGTTTGTGGTTTGAAACATTAATATCAGGGATAATATTGGAAAAGCAGAAACTAGTTACATGTCTATGTGTCGGCTTCATGTGTGTGGTAAGTAAGTTAGTGCAAAAATGAATAAATATAAATTAATTATTGAATCATTAGATAAATAACTCCATGATTTGAATGTATGCACTTCGCGTTGAGTAATGGAGAAATAAGAAAAGGTAAAACTTGTATAAGGATTCTAAGATAACAATACAGTGTGAATAAGGTGCAAATCCAAAATACATACAATGACAAAATCAGATTTACAGTGTGGATCATAACAATGAACAAGTTGACAGTGAATGAACTGAATATATATGCACATTATCTGAGGTGCATGAGTGGTAAAAGTGTGATTGATAATTGCTGAAACTGTCCTTACTGTTTATTTGATTATCTCATTGTCATGAATGACGTCTTGAAAGTCTTTGGAGCTCTCCTTAATGTTTGCTGTGATAGGAGGGATTGTCAAGGCTGCAAATGTTGATCAAATGCTTGAAAATTAGGACCAAATAGAGTATGTGTGCCAGCTTGGGATGATTTTCTACGACTGAGATGCTCGATAAATACTGGCCCTGAGCTGGAATATGTGAGAGTGCATTTTTAAAGACCGTTATGGGGACAGGGTCAAATAGCACTTGCAAATACTTCATCTGGTTTGTTTTAAACCTACTGTGGTGGTAAATAAACATGAGTGCTAGAATGTTTGGAGAATCACAAGCTAAGAATGTGCTGTTTAGTTTACTCTTCTGTGTCCAACAACTTTCAGGCACTCTTGTTAAGTGTTCCAGTGCAGAAAACCACTCAGTCAGTGACTCTGCACAGGTTAAAACGACACTATAAATGATCTGTCCCCGTTTCTTTTTAATCGTGGATGGAGAAGAATCAACTGACCGTTGTTCTCTGACCTCATTAGATGGTTACTCCACCATTGACCAGAGGGACAAGGACTGCAAATTTAAGACAGTTGATGGCTCAGTGGACCAGACAGAACGGGAGCCATCAAAGGTAAATGCGCATCTCTTCTGGACTCCCAGGGGGGACAGAGGATGAAATAATGATGTCTCATTGAAACGTCCTCTCCTTCTGTGTCCTTTTCTTTCCCTCTCGCAACATGTTTTCTGGGGTGGTCCTCATTAAAGGCTCTTAATCCTATCGATTCTTTAAAGAGGCTGGAAGTTGTCATTCTCTGTTGATGTTGCCCGCCACAACTCAGCACCGCGGACAGCCTCAGATCTGAGAGCCGCCAGTTAATTGAGTGTAAGCTTTTGGCGTGTGTAAAGTAATTAATCTGAGACTGATTAAAAGAACCGCCAACAAACAGTCCTCTCGACCCTTGCCTTGGCAGTGACAGACTGCTGCATTATCAAGTGGCCGTCTGCTTATTATACAGCCGTCTCACCCTGCAGTCAAAGTTTGTTTCTTGTTGCGCTGATCGGCTATCCAACTTCAAAGAGGAGTCACAGGATAATGGGCTCAGAGGATGTCTGACACATGTGGGATGACTCTCACGTACTTTTTGCAGTTTACTTTTCATCTGCTTTAGTGCAAGATGAAAAGGGTTTTCCCTGTGGGATTGTAAAATGAATGCAGTGAAGAGTCCATTAAAGTCAGTTTAGCATACGTCTCTATAGGTGAATGGTCATATATCTGCTTCCCCATGCAGGTTAAAACTACCTTTTTACTAAAAATCTTTCCAAGGCAAAGTCTAGGTGGAAATTATGTCTGGAGCAGAGTTAATAGTACAGTTCATACAGGCTTTGTATCTGAGTTATGGTAGTTATTTGCTTTTTATTTGAAATTGGGTAAAACCAGGGTCAACTGAATTGACCAAAGCTCTGCTTTATAACTTACAAATTAAATTGTTATTTATTTTTTATCAGGAGTTATATAATCTCGGTTGCATTCTAAAGATGGGTCTTCATGTCTCTTGTCTTTCCTTCTGTTGCGGCTCAATTATCAGGGTAGCATTGCACATCTGAGAGGAAACTAAGACACTGTAGTTACATATATAGCTATATGTCATCCATGTGGCATTTTGCACTCACTGTAAACTAATAATCAAATTATACTGTTATAAAAATGTGGGTTTGTTGTTATGAGCGCCAGTGTCTACTTTATCCTTCAACAGTCAAATCAACTGACATGGTAGCTAAAAATAGATCTTACTTACAGGTACCTACCCACTATTCTGACTGCATTTCCTCTAAAAGTTAAAGGTGCTGCACTGATTTGTTTTGTTTAAAGGGGAACTCAACACCAGGCTGAAAAGCAACGTTTCACTTCCCTCTCTGGTTGAAGTTTTAATTTGTCAAAAGTTGCGCCCTGTTGCAGCTGCAACCATACACAACAGTGATGTCACAGTTCACTAACCACACCCTGGAGTGAACTTCTACATCACTGCATCAAGTTAAGAAGAAACAGTAAAACAAGATTTTCATCCGGTGTTGGGTGCTCTTACAGTTTAGATTTTCAGTGTTGTTTCTATTTTAACTGATGTCCGTTCTACATTGACGGTCAGTGGCGCTGGTTGTGTTGAGCTTAAGATTGAAATGGAACCAAAACAAGTGCAAAATGTATCCAGTTTAAAGATAGAATAAAACAACTAATGTAGCAGCAAAGTATAGCAGCACGAAATAGAAACAATAGGCAGCATCAGTATACATACTCAACACTGACCTCAGGCTTCAACAATCCATTTTGGTTGACACCTACTCTTCATCATAGCAGTTTAACTACTAAACCAGCTGACGTTATACTTTCACATCTTGAAAGGGCAGAAACCAACTGAGAAGCCACAGACAGGAGTAATCACAGCAAGCAGACTTGTTTCTCTTCAGCGTGCAGGCCTTCTAGCGTTACTCCAAAGCTGTCTTCTAAGTCTGCCTCCTGCACTGTACTTCCCAGAGGTTTTCTGCCCACTTAGAATGCAACTTGGCAGTTTAAACTGCTCTCTCCCCCTCTTTGATTTGCATGTTGTGGTTCACTGTTTTGAATCACTCTGAATTCTTTCCAAGCCATCCTGAAGGCAGGGGACTAACACTGGCTTCACTTATCCTGGATGTGTGTGTGTGTGTGTGTGTGTGTGTGTGTGTGTGTGTGTGTGTGTGCGTGTGTGTGTGAGTGTGAGAGTGTATTTGTGAAATGTATTGACCTGATATTGTTTTGCTGTGTTTGTTTTTTTTAACTCGTCCTCCTGTGGCCACAGAATGACACAAATAGGAAACACTATATCAGGACTAACAGGCCTGCAGTCAGTCTGGTGGACGCTTGTGATGTTAAGCCCCAGCCTGTTGATTCCTGGGTCTAAATGCATGCATGGTAGGTCTCCAAAAAATAAAAGCACAATAAAAATAACCACCTTCACCTTTTGGGTTGGATTGTAGCATCCTTTGCATTGCCTGTTTGTCTTTTCCACCTGTGTTGCTTTCAACCTCACACTGTCATGTAGCTGCACCCAGAGCAGTCAGCTGGAGGAGTCACTCTGTTCTTTCCATGGAAATTAACATAATTCACTTGCAGTTCAACTGAAAACATTTTTTTAGGTTCAACATTTTTAGATTGTATTTAAGATTTATTAAATGTATACATTGTATATTAATTTTATATTTACACACACTTCCATACGTAGATAAAGGCCAAGATGGCGCTACCAGAGACTCAAAGTACAAAATAAATCACAAATGAGAAACTTAGATTTCTCCACGTTCAGAAGCAGTTTGCTCAGGGCTGTAGTGAGAGTGACACTGAGCATTTACAGAGTTTGTGTGGTGTCTTTTTTTCTAACTTTTCTAAAAACCAGAACCACAAGATTAAAATGTAGGTTGTGCGTAAGCTGCCGTGGTTAGCACGTCTATCTAACTAGATTTCCTACAATAGTAACAGAGTGTTACTTCATAAACCAAGGAGCACACTGCTAACGAACGTGGAGTAACAGCTTAAAGAAAGGCTAATTTCACGACCTGTGCATCCACTATATATTATTTCCCCACTGTGTGGGAGCTGGTCCTGGATGCTGTCAGAGTTTAGCGTAAGCCTAACATTTGCAGCTCTGTCCTGCTCTTCATTGTAGAAAAAAAAAACCTTCGTGTAACATACATACAAAGTAGAAAAGGCTTTGTTCTCTTTTTACAATTCAGCAACACCTGTCTGATTGCAATGCACACCTAGCTTCACTCACTAGATCCCCTGATGGCCTCTGCTGAAATTGGTGGCAAATGCTGAAGGATAATCATTCTTCTGCACTTCAGATGGATCCGCCAGGGACTCAGTTAACACTTAATGAGAAGCAGTAGGGAGAAAGAACATATGCACACACACAGCATCTTAGCTCTATCTACATTCGATTCGAAGATAAATAATTCATGTAAGTTGATGATTTGATGATGGAAGCCAACACATAAGGCAGAGATGTAATCAAGGGTGAGCTCACATCATTTCAGTTTACATATATTTTGTGGTCTGAAGTAGTTCATTTGAATATTTTGTGTTAATGGTCATGGTATAAATGATGCAAAGTGGCTTTTGATGTAACTTAGATGGTCATATTTCCCTGCAAGTTACAGAACAAAAAGAAATTCCGCTTCTCTTTGTGAGAGGCCTGCATCCAAGAACGGCTGAATTTCTTCTTTCTTTCAAATGTTTTAAGTTCATGCATGTTAGCTGTAAGGCAACAGTTTGTAACAAGTAACAATGAAAGACATCTAAATTAGTAATGCCCTTATACCTGTACATACTTTATGTAAGCGACCTTACGAGGTTTGACTGAATAACCAACCTGACGCAGTGACTTTTGCAAAGCAGCAAGCTGATCTGGGTGAGCTTCAGTAGTTGTCATTAGTTGCCATTCCTCAATCAGCAGTCTTTATCTCCTCTCTCCGCCTCCTCCTCACCGCTGTTGTCCTCTCCTGTGCCAGAGGCCTCTTGCCAGACCGCGCTCATCTTCTTATGTCAATCAGTGGCCATCCGTTCAATGCTTTCATCTCCATCCATTGCATTATCATAGGAAATAGGTGACTCTGATTTGTGGTATCCATTGTAATTTTATCACTTTATTAAAAAAATATTCTGAATATTCTGAATATTATGGGTAATATTCAGAATTAACCATCAGGTAAGTAATTCTCACTTCATTGAGCACATGCAGGATTTCAGCCGACTCATTAAGCATCTGTTTTGCTGTCTTTTGCCTCCATTTGCCATCTGGGCTGACATAATTGAAGCATTTGCTGACAGTGATGTAATTTGTGAAGTACTGTGATAATGCCAGCTGATTGTCTTGCTGTTTGTCATGAGAGCACAACTGGAGAGTTTTACATTAAATTCACATACATTGAATGCAAAATGTGGTTCCTGCTCTAAATATAAATCATGTTAGGATGAAATGTTTAAGGAAAAGGCTGGTGATATGGATGTTTTTGTCAACAAATCCCATGAAAAGACCAAAACCAACAACGAATTGATCCTAGTCACAAGTATAGTCTGTGTAGCAAAGTCTTATTCCTCTGTGCCATAGAGGTCCGCTTACAAGCATGCTACATGTGTGGTGATCTTTATCTGAAAATAGAATTCCACATGCTACAGTCAGTGAAGGGAAGTCTTAATATGAAGTATTGAGAGAAAGACTTATTGTTGGTTTAGATCTTTTAATAATGGAATTTGTTGACAAGAAAAAGCATAGAATAGTCATGATTTGTCATGATGGATGTCATTGTTTTTTACACTGTAGCATTTTGTACTGAAACCCTTTATAAATGGGATTTAAACTGTGTGGATGGTTCTTCTAATATTTTTCTCTCTTGTCCACGTGCTCCAGGCTTAAAGTAACGACACCCAGCTAGAGAAGGATCTCTCATATCATCACTGCCATTTCACATGGAGCTCATCTTTGGAGTTGGACTTTGTACAGAAAAGAGGATTAAAAAAAAAAAATGATGATCAGCAACTGCCCAGCAAACAGCCAACATTCTCATGCTTTTCAGAAAAAGAAAAAAAAAGAATAAAAAGTGACTACTTTCTCAAATCTACATTCCCACTGGACTTTACAGTGTTGAGCTCTACCGGTGACCAAAAACGGACAAAGGGCCGGTGCTGGTGAAGGAATGGACGTATGAAGGGCGAACAAAGTGAGATGAAGGAAATCAATGGAAAAGGAATGTGTGTTGGAAGGAAATCTGTGGGAAGCTGGAATGAGTGGTGACTGCATTTCAGTTTTCACATCTGGAAGAAGTTCATGCTTCAGTTTTGCCGGTTTTGGAGAATTTTACTTTCAGATTGTTGTCGGGCTTTGGTAATTTGATGTGAACAGGTATGGACTGGTGTGTTTGAAGGTCACAGAATGTTGTTTGCAGATTGGTGTGATGGACACGTGAAGGTGAAATGAGAGAAACCGATCCTGAGAAGAACTGTAGCATAGTTGATGAACATGTACACCCAGCAGTCTGCTCTTGTAGACTTACAATATATTTGGTTCACTGTGTTTATTCTTTTTTTTAAAGTGCACTGAGATGGTTTGAAATCAAAAGTTTTTAACAAGTGATTGATGTTCATTTATAAAGTGAGGTGTCTGCAAGTTGTGGTCCGGAGAAAAGAAAGCGACATAGTGTGTACATCACATGAAGTAACAGTTTCTGTTCACACTGCATCGGAAAAGTAAGCTAAAAACGGAAACCAGCGGTTTCTGTTTCATCGTGGTCATCATGTTGACCCTCACTCACAGAGCCGTGGTTACTTGTGTAACCACTCATATCGTGTAGCGACGCAGTTTCACGAGTTTCCTGGCTGGTTGCTCTTTGTCAATGATGTGTATTAAAGAGGATATAAGGCATTTTGTTCATAAATGATTTGTGTTTTTGAAAAGAGAGGCGCAAGTTTGTTCTCTTGATGAAAGGGTAGATCTAAAAGCAGTTTTTATTTTTGTTGGCTTTTATATAAATGTATATGAGGTTCAAAAGGAAATAAAATTGAAAAATGAAGGAGACAAAAAAACAACAAAAATGACCGACTTCTTAGTTGTATATTAATATCACATTGTTTGGAAGCACATCTCATTTGATAAAGGCTCACCATGTTTGTAAACAAGAAATAACCACGTAACTTAAATGTGTGTCAAATATTGTCAAGTTACGCCGACGATCACCTATTTATATTTTGTATTTGTCCAAAAAAAAATTACAGAAAAAAAGTTTATCTGCAGTGTTCTTTCTAAAGGCCATGTTGTCTGACAGCCCGTGAATCTTCAAACCAGACACTCTGGAGGGGTCAGAGGTCAGGCCAATGAGATAGACAAGAGACGGCAGTGTTAATAAAGGTTCTTTAGTTTTTCTTCCTGATGCATTCAGACCAAGTTACCGCTAACCCTGAACCCTACTTCACCGGTGCATCTTAAGAAATATTCAGTCGTGAGCATGAAGCAAAACTGTACAGATGTTTATATTCTATTCTTTCCAAGTGCCAGTTTTTTGTGGTGTCATTTGGATATTAACTAATTAATTCATGTGCAAGAAGAGAGTACAGGAAGACGAGTGGATCTGGATGTTTAGGGCAAAATAAAAGAGTTACATCACACTGTACAGAAACAAAACATCAAGTTTGGTCATATAGTATATATTTTTACAAGGTGTTAGGGTGGGCAGTTGAGATGAAGAAAAGCAGAGAGATACAGTATCATATTGATGTGTTTCTCTTGCTTGGTGAGATTGCAAACTAAATCCAGTGATGATGTGTTTTAGTCTCCTTGCCAGCCTCAGTCTGTCAGAGAAACAGAAAGAGAATCCAATCCAAGTTGGCATCACTCATGCGTCATCAAGGCGAATGGCATGTGCCTGCGTTGAAGTCTGATTTTTCTTTGTGACGTATGTGACTTTATGAAGCTTGCATATTTTACACAGTGTTTACAAAGATGTATGTTGTGGTAAAAATCAATAAACTACAAAAAAAAACTTACTGTATAGATATTAATTTCAGAGGTTAAAAAAAAAAATTATGAAGATACCCAGCAATCCCTTTTGTGTGTCCTCAGAAGTGTGTGCTTTCATTGGACAATACTGAACCCTAACAACAAAGACCCGAATGACTGTCTATTCCTGACTGCACTTTGCAGTACCACAACCAAAGGATCTGGAGTTGTATTTACATGCATTCATAACAGGGGGGGGTTTGGTTTTGTGGATGTACAACGCATTGTAAATTCCCCAAATAAAGAGCCAAGCAGCTGTGTTGTAAAAGAAATGCAGGACACGGACACACATCGAATCAAACATACCTACCTGTGTAGATATAACTGATTCAAGACCGTCAAAATCAAGTAACTGTTCTACTCAGTAGCAGATGTGTTTGTACCTATCATGTGCCTTAACCTTTTCCATGGTAGATAAAAATAAGTGTGTTTTATATAACTTTATTCCTCCCTTTCAACTGCCATCTCTCCATTCTGTCTGTTCACCTCTCCTCCACCCTTCCTCCCTTTTACCTTCACTCAAGTCACTCATTCATTCATTCTGCCCCCCGACCCCTTGTAGGATAGACTGTTGGTGGGTTTCTGCATTGTATTACATTGTATTATAAACTTTTAAAAAGATAGTCATTCGAATAATGGTTTTGATTTCCTAGAGGAGTAAAGTTGTTAATGCTTTCGTAGCGAGCAGAAGCGATGCCACAGTGACAGAATGTATTATGTTAATTTTACTAATACCCAGAGGCAAATATTACGCTTGTTAAACATAACGGAAAAATACTGGTTTGTAGAGTATACATTTGGTGTGTTTTCAATAAATCATGCCTGGAAAGAATTGTTGCATGGCTCTGTGTCTTGTTATATATTTTGTTTTTATGTAATGATAGTCATGACAGCACTCCCTGTAGGCTGCAATGCTCATTACAACCATCACAGAAATGTATCTGGTCAGTTCATCCTAATAACTAAAATGGAGTCTAATTTGTGATGCTCACAGTGAACAATTTACACAGGAACTACTTTTTTTTTCTTTTTACCAAGGAAATAGTCCTGATGAAAAGTGTTGACTGGATTTTCCAAAGTAATGGGGTGGATACTGTTTCTGGAAAAAATAAATACATTTTCCAATGAGATGACCACCACAAATGTAATTGGTTTTAATCTCCTTTAGATTGGGGTGACAGCAGAAACCTGTACAAAGTAAACCAAAGCCATCTGCATTTACCACTGGGGGTAATTGAAAAAACAATTGAACTCCAGTCGGTTCCACTACTACTCAAGTACAATTTTGAGGTACTTGTACTGTATTGTACTTAAACTTCTACTCCACTAAATCTCAGAGGCAAATATTACACATTTACCATCCACTACATTTATTTGATAACTTATCGGATTCAAATTAATAATATTTAATTGTAAAATAAACATATAAATGATATTATCATATCAATAATAATTTAATTATTGGTAGAGGGGAAACTCACAAGCTACTCAGCAGTATACTGTATGAATTGTACAAAATATAACAAATTAAAATGAGCCCCACTTTTATCCGATGCAATATTCAAGCTATGTACACATTCATGCAGAAATAATTAGAATATAATAATATAACATACATTATTTCGAAACTGACCATTCTGCATTATGCGTAGATTTTGGTACTTCCCATAAATGTTGATGCTTTTATTTTTGTCCTTTTACGTAAGTACATTTTTTTTTAATGCAGGACGTTTACTTGTAACTACAGTATTTCTGCACTGTGGTATTGCTTCTTATACTAAAGTAAAAGATCTGAGTACTTGTTCCACCCCTGTATTTAGAGTTGTCTAGTAGCAGAAGACACACTACGTGGTCCTGTATAAGAGGAGACAGCATCAGTTAACAGGGATCTGGAAGCCAATGTTATTACGGACCTGGTCCCGTATTTTAGTTTTTCTGAATTAACGGTAAAACAGATGAGTAAAACGTATACCACCCTGCATAATATGTGAGGTGGCAGTGAGAAACTTATAAACTTATATTTGTACATTTCCTTTATACACATAAACTGTAAGTTCTACACTCAGAATATGTAAGAATTATTCCACCACATTTATTGAGATTTAAACTTTTAATTTAGTATCAACAGGTGTTATTTATTTACTCATATTTCTGTTGAATAACAATAAAAAAGTTTAATGTCGAGTAAACCGTAGGACCCATTTCTTATCAGGCAATAGTCTAGCCAGCACATACCCGGCCTGGGTCCTTTCATAACAACAACATGGCTGCCCTCTACAGGGGCAGACACCGGTGGAAAAGGACTAATTCTTTGCATGTTTTGACAAGAAACCTGACAGGTAACACTATTTTGTTCAAACGTGTATTTTGTGTGGATATGGAGAACGGAACGGGCGCGTGTTAATAGTTGGACTTGTCTCTGTCAGCGAACAACTAAGTTACAAACCAGCAGCTCTGATGTAACTCTGGTGTAGTTTAACTAGCTGGCGGATCTGCTGCTTATTGTTATCCTGTTAATTAGTGTAAATTCCACATTCACCTGGTGTCCTCGGCCTCCCAGACCATCTTTACTCAAATAAGAAGACTACATTTGAAAACGCGTTTCGTCCGGTGGACCATGGCCACCTTTTTCACTTGCACATATCTGTACATACACATACTAATACTTCATAACTATACTATTTATATCAGTTTTGACTGTCTACTATTCATCATCCAATGTGCTCGTACAGGGAACTACGACTATGACCTGGTTGTTATTGGTGGTGGTTCAGGAGGCCTTGCTTGTTCCAAAGAAGGTGAGATTATCTTTTAAAGTTCCTGCATCTATGCTTCTGCACATTGATGTCTTTCTAACCACACACTGACAATATATCTGTATTTACAGCAGCACAGTTGGGACAGAAAGTTGCTGTCCTAGATTATGTGGAGCCATCTGTTCAAGGTAAAATACATTGTGCCAGATAGTTACAACAATGACAGTTTGTTGTTTTATTTTAAGACACCATTGCGTATATATTTTCTAAATGTTTTTCAAACAGGTACCAAGTGGGGTCTTGGTGGCACGTGTGTTAATGTTGGCTGCATCCCTAAGAAGCTCATGCACCAGGCTGCTCTACTCGGCACCGCAGTCAAAGATGCTAAGAAGTATGGCTGGCAGATCTCAGGGCCCATCTGTCATGACTGGTAGGTCAATCAGATGTTTGTTGAAGGGAAACATAACCCTGATCAATCTAACAGATCGATGTGTATGAGCAGCTAAACAGCACCATCTAGTGGTGTAGGACAAAAATGCTACTTGTGGTTGTAAAAGGAATTATTACTTACTTAATTACTACTATTGAATACTCTTACTAACTGCTTGTATGTATTGAATGATGTATTCAAAGCTAAAAACACAATTCATAAGGGAATATTAGTCTGCTCACGGGCCAGACCAAAGATGTCAGTTATGTGAAAAGTGCTTTGACGGTGCTCTGATGGTCCAAATAATTAGCTAAAATTATAGTTTGTCCAATTCTAATTTGAATGTATATGGTGTTAAAAACAACATTATTTCCATGTTGATTTCAGTTAACTATGCCTGTTTTTTTTCAGGGCCACCATGGCAGAGGCTATTCAAAACCACGTCAGGTCTCTGAACTGGGGTCACAGAGTTCAGCTCCAGGACAAGTAAGTGACACCAGCTCTGCTCGCTCACTCGTTTTTCATGATACACTCTCATAAACACGCAATTTCCATAAAACAATAGATTATTTATATGTTCTTTTACATTTTAGCTCATTTGTATGACATGAGCTATTGCTGAAGGCGGTACGTTTCTGAAGGATTGGTCGTCAGCGGCCACATGTTGATTGAGTGGCTGGCTGGAGGGCAAACAGGTGTTAACCTCTGTGTGAATGTGGCCAAGCTCAACCTAAAATGTTTTCATTCCAGTCTGATAATTAGCTTGATCTCCACATATTAGTAATTCTCCTAATATGATTTTTTCTTCTTCTTTTAATCAACAATTAGCCTTGAGAGAACAGCAGAGAGGCATTGTTAACCACAGTGCAAAGCAGTAATTCCAAGTGTATTTCTTACAAATGTAACAATAAATGAGCACATATGTTAAACAAATTTCACATGTTTAATTGTTAGCAGGAAATAATTGAGAGAAATGGTGATGGGGTATCAGTTACTGTAGTTGATCTGCACTTCCAGAAGCAACCAGCTGTTCATTCTGTGTCTTGCAGGAAGGTGAAGTATCTGAACATCAAAGGAAGTCTGGTGGATGAACACACTGTCAAAGGACTAACTAAAGCAGGGAAAGAGGTGGGTGGCTCGTCTATTTATTCATTTATTCAATCAGTCCCAAACTGATGATTGGATTTCAATTAGTAAGACCACAATCAAAAATATATGAGGTACTTTATAAATCATGTTTATTATACTTGTTTTTCATGTGCATCATTAGATATTTACAGAAGCCCTGAGAGGCAAGTAAGAAAATAAATCTGGCGATTCATTTCTTAAGTTATTGTTCATGTGTTTATGACTTAAGAACAGGTAAAAAAAAAAAAATGGTTTTGCCAGAATCATTTTAGTAAGTGTTTGTTGTAATACTTATTTAGTCCACAAGAGGCTGCAGTTGTGTTTTAAATAAGAGTAATGGCTAAAAGAAAGACATGACCGTAATGTAACACATCTTGCTATCTTGTGTTCAGAGTGCATGGAGAAGTTAACCTCACCTGGAAGAAAACATGAAAGCCTTTTAGTCGTATTTAGAACACGAGGTAGTGGTGCACTGCAGCCTCTCGTTATCCAAATAAGTATTACAACAAAGACACCTGGCATAACTTTTATTTATGCAATATATAAATTCAACACCTCCATACCTACCGAGTGTTACGTGTTTCCATTATAACCGGAATGCAGAGTACTGTGGAGACCACTTGCTTTCATTGGACATTTCCTTGTTTTTTTGAAGGATATGAACAAAAGATATTACTTCACGTTTCCCTCCTCTCATACAGATGACCCTGACTGCCAAGAACATTGTGATCGCCACAGGTGGACGGCCCAATTACCCCACAAATGTACGTAACATTGCCCCCTCCCCACATTTTCCTCTGCCAGCATGTGTTGATTGATTGATTGATTGGTTACCAGGTACACCAAACAAATGAGAAAGAGCAGCCAAAACCTCTGAAGTGATGTAAAATGTGGTTTGTAAGCATCGCACTATGGCACACATACTGTACAAGCCTTAACACACAAAACATTGCAGGTTTTAGAGAGCGAACTGTTTGTTTTGTTCATAGTTGGTTGATAGGTTGATAGTTCTGCTCACAGCTTTAACTCTTGTTACAGATCCCAGGAGCAATGGAGCACGGCATCAGCAGTGACGACATCTTCTGGCTGAAAAAGTCACCCGGTAAAACGTGAGGACACCCTCCACCTGCAGACAGACATCTTATATTAAATCATATTATTAATAAGATATTACCCAGTCAGTGTCCTCTACATCTGATCATATACTGTGCTCATGGTATGCATGCAGTGTCGGCTACGCCACAATGCTGGAAGTAAAAAGTCCTGGTCATTTTGGGGATTTTACATCGATGCAAATATTTAGCTGTTTATATATTGATATCACCCGTAAATGCATGCAACTTAGTGTGTGTAGGATTGTTGGCATCGTTCTTATACAATGAGCAACAAGGGAAACGGAACCTCTAACCTCTGCAGTATTAATGCCTTGCTTTAACTCGCCGCGCTGACACGACACCTCCCCCTGTCACGCACTGTAATCATTCATCAGTGACACGGAGTTTGTTTTTCTCCCTTCCTGTCAGCCTGTCTTCGCCTCATGATTCCGATTAGCGGCGTGCATCCTGACCTTTACAGAACAAGCCCTTTAATCCAGCCATTTAGCCGCTGTCATCACCTGGTTAATTGGGCTTTCCCCGATGTTTCCTCTTGGCACAACGTGTAGACGGTGACTAGTGGTTGTGGGATACCTGGGTTGCGGTTGTTGTTTGCTTCTCGGTGACAGATGAGCGGAAATAATTCTTCCGATACGTAAGCTTCATATGTATCTATGCTGCCTGCACCCGGGGGACGTTTTTGGATTATATCATTTTTTTAAATGCAGATTTATTGCTTTGGCTTTTGATCCATGCTTATGTTTTTGGAAATGAGCAGAAAGCACTATATTACATGTTTTCATTTTTATTTTTAAGAACATCAGTTCCTTCTAATGTAATGCTAAAATGTGCGGTATTCCTATGTAGCATATGTTAAGTAATATATATGCTATTCAACTTTCTGACCACTTGGTGGCAATGCAAAATCATTTATAGACAACAAATTAACAGTGCGCACTGAAGCCATCAGAATTATCCACTTGAGCCCAGGAAGTCCTTTGATGTAAGCGTGTGACGGTTAGTGGAGTCCTCTACCTCCCTGCAGGCTGAACGAGGTTAGCGTTAGCTTTAGCTTCCTCTGTGAGGGTAAAGCACACACTCTGGCCAGAGCTGGAGATGTTGTTGTGCTGCCGAGCTTTCAGCTGTGCAGGTGAGGTCCAAGAGGCGGTTTCTGTCGGCAGGGCTGGTTGCTGGAGGGGGGTCTAGGCGAGTGATGGGTGTCTAATGGGTCTTGGAACACAAACACACCCGGGTGACAGATTTGGCCCCGGGACCCGAAGCCCAGAGCTGGCTGCCATCATCATCATTAGGAGAAAGCAGTGAGCACGTGCCAGCAGGGCTGTGATACTGGTCTAGGGATAGGCCAGTACACGAATGAGTTGGAACAGAATGAGGGCTTGTGTTGTGGCGGACCAGGGCCGCACTTCCCGGGAATATCTTTGCATAGCACCACACAGCATAACTTCCCAGCTGCTGTAGAGAAGCAAAACATTCACAGGGTCATAGATGCACTCGTGTGCCGGTGTTATACCATGAACGGCGTAGCAAAATGTCCCACGCTAGCCAACATGCTCTCAACAGTTACACTCTACCGTTGCAAGCTACACAGCAGCCCTGGCTGCCACACCTGTACCGCTCTCCTAACTGGCAGATTACATTTGCATGACAATTATTTACAGTAACTTATTATCGTGTCAAAAAGAGCGAGGAACTTGTCTTCTTTCCAAGGGTGTAGTCCATAATGAGAAGTCAAAGTAAAGATTCTGCAACACATGAAGTTTGTAAAACACAGAACATTCTACTTGACAGAAGTGTATGAACTCTACATGAAAACATTTGTACTTTCAAAAAGATATATTCAGGACGCCGAGGAAAAGTAGAAAATATAAGACCAGAAGTTTCCTCTAAATCCATTGGATTTTACAGGGATTTACAATGCCCTGTTCATTATTTAGTGCAATAGATTGATCGAATAAATGTCTTTTATGAAACTCTTATATCAGTCAGTTAATTGTCTTTCATACTCCCACTCACACAGAGAAATACACTGAAGTGTATAGGTGGGCTCATTGAAAGCATGCAGAGATCTGAAATATTCCACAGTGACAAGCAAATCATTTTGAATACTCTTTTGTTTGTTTGTGTGTTCTTTTTCAAATTATATGGACAAAATAAAGGTATTGGTTGTTTAAGATTTAATGGATAAAAGGCTGGTTCAAGGCATCCTCATTGTTTCATTGTCATGCAGTCCTTTTAGTTTTGGCCAGACTACAACAAGCAACATTAGACAGAAGTATCTAAGTTGGACTGACATCAAGCCTTGGCAACAAAACCCCCACATGCTCGACAGATACACAGGAGGAATATCCAAATGTAGTGTTTATCGGTGACGGGGCTCCTGAAGAACTACCCAAGGTTAACACGCTGCCATCAGTCAATAGACGGTCCTGTTCAGGACTCCCCCCGCTCTCCCTCCCATTCGCTCCCTTTATTAGACACACGGATAGCTTTCATGCTTGTGATACTTCCTTTGATCTAGCATGGCAGTTTGTATGAAACATAGACAAAACATGTAAGTGGGGAACAGGAAATTGATTGATGTTGCTACATTATGCAGCTTATAATATGAACATTGTTAAAGCAACAGTGTATGCCTAATAATATAGTTATGTGTGGTGCATAACCTGGATATAATTGTCCCCATTCCTCTTTAGATATCTGGCCTCTGAACAAAGTTACTGAATGTTTGAAAAATTATACACATGCTGTATTTGAATATATATATATCTTTTTACATTATTCAACACTAAATATGGACACAAAACGGAAAATAGAACAAATGTTTAGATGCACAAAGAAACATTAAGGAAACGACGACAAACGATCACCATGTAAATGGATCATAAGTTCATCGTTCCGTCATGAATAAGCTCCATTTATTCATCGGAAGCTACAGAGTTGCTTCTGTAATTTGCTTTTCAAGAAGTGCAGAAAGCGTCCCCATATTTTTTAGAATATCTGTAAATGGCTTTTTTGTAGCTTACGTCCATTTTTCCACGACCAAGCCAGCTTAAGCCCTTCTTGCCCCCTAAATGTCACCGTTGTTGAGTGGGGTCAAAAGAGCTATAACATCATCTTTTAGATGACAAATGTAGCAGCTGTACAGACTCAGACCAAAGTACAATGAGTAGGAAGGCGGCGAGGGGAAAATGGGACAGTTTCTCAGTGATGAAAGTGTAGAATCAAGCTAAAGCTCTTTGCCTAATCTTCTTTAAGCCACTTCACAATGTGCGCTAAGTGCAGCTGTGCATTACACAGACGCAGAGAACGAGGGCACCGGGGCTTTTAGTGGTTTGTGTTAGCATGGACAAGGGCAGGATGTGCCTCAGGCAGCCCGAGCTGTCAGGTGGAGCAGACCTAAGGGGAGGAGGTCTAGGTCGGAGAGGTAAAAACCAAGAATGAGAAGGGCCTCATCCGTTTTGGCTGACGGGCATCACTCAGCCGGCTGATGTGTGGACTTGAGCCCTGAACATGGCACACTCCATCTGCAGGGATTAGCCTTAACGCTGGCAATTAGCCCTCCTCAACGCTACAGATCTCAGGGCTGGATTAGAAGCATGATTCACCTGGACCACACACACACGTACACACACTCACTGCAAGTGCACACACCTTTTACTGTCCCCTGTTTTTTTCTGAGGTTGTGAAGTTTTGTAATTCATCGCCTCTCTAATTCTAGGATTTTAAAGCAAACATTTTCAATTTTGGACTCGCTTTATTTTTTTTTGGCCAAAACCTGTTCTGCACAAATGATATAATTTATTTTTGTTGTATTATTAGTTTGGCTAACAGCTTTGCTTAATTTGTGTTTTGCAGGCTTGTGGTTGGAGCCAGCTGTATCCTTTGTTTGCCAGAGAGCTTGTAAATGGAGCCCCTGTATAATTTCCGCTGGTTATCACTAGAGATATAGTACAATTATTAACTTAATAAAAGCATTGGCATCAGACCAGTTTCAAATAGTTTTTATGAATGACTCTTAGCACTTGTCTGATACTCAGGGGGCCATATCTGCAGTACTACACTGAGATCTTCAGAGGTTTTCAGTCTGAGATACATCATGTACCGGCCGTTTGGTAAACCATGATAAGATACGTTTTCTTGTTTACATGCTGCTGCATGACTGTGATTTCTCCTTTTTAAACTACTTTCTTGTTGTTGTTGTGTTATGGCCACACATCAAGTGCTACTGTACATGCAAATCAAGAAAAGTAGTGTAATCCTCAACCTGGTGCTGCTCAGACGTGGCTCTGGAGTGTGCAGGCTTCCTCACCGGCATTGGCTTGGACACCACAGTGATGGTCCGCAGCATCGCCCTCCGGGGGTTTGATCAGGTATTGCTTCCTGAACAACAGTCTGCATATTCTGCATAATCATGATTTTTATTTTATTTTTTTGTCGTGTCTGAAAGTGTATACTCTCTTTCGGGTTTATGCAGCAAATGGCAGGTCTAGTCACAGACTACATGGACGCATATGGGACCAAGTTTGCATGGAAGTGTGTCCCAAAGAGTGTGGAGAAGCTTTCCTCAGGAGCCCTGCAGGTGACCTGGACCGACACCCACACGGGCGACGAACACAAGGACACCTACGACTCTGTGTTATGGGCAGTTGGTGAGTCTATGCATGTCGCTGTGTGTGGCTCAGTTCACTTAAATCTGAAACAAGCCTGAATACATGTGATAATGTAGAGTAGAACATTTAAGTACGGTAATATGCTTCAAAAATCCTTCTCCCTCCACCTGGAGGCCACAGGGTCAAGTTTAAATAGAGAGCAACATGTTGAAGTGGTCGAGGCTCATTGTGTTGCTTCTGGACACTTGAGTAGAGGACGTGCCAAAGCTTTAGACTTGAGACTTGGACAGAAGTCCGACTTAAGTCACAAAAGTGAGGGCTCAATACTTGACCTGTACTCTGCATGATAATATCCAAGAGCAGTACAAATAAATAAGAGTGTGTCAGGCATTTGTGACATGAACTCACACCTCGAATATGACACTTGTTACATAGCTTTGAATGTCTTTGACTTGTCTCAATTGACTTGAGACTTGAATTGGACTTACCTTAAAAGACCAAAAAAACAACAGACTGATGCTCAAGCATTTAACCGGTACAGTCCTTAAAATTATTATACAACTTTGCCAGTCTTTTATAATCCAGATACTAAAATACCTGAATTATGACAAACTCAATTTTGCAAGTTGATGGAGAATCAATCCAGTTCAAAGTACAGTAATTAACCCATCATCCCCTATTGTTAAAACCTCTCTAGGTATTGCATGTCAATACACCGGTCGTATTGTTCCCCATGTATTTGTCTGAATGAAAACAGCGGTATGACTATTCTCCCTGCTGCCATCAATTTAATTGTTATCCTCAATAGAGAGCAGTGTCAGCAGATAGAGGAGGAATCAAGGCTGAAAACAAAGTAATAAAGCCTTAGTGATGGGAATGGCCAAGGGAAGTGTTAATCACCCACCGCTGGCTCTCTGGTTGGAGAGAGGCAGGACTGGGCAGGATGCACCCAGGCACAGGGTCACCACGTTCCCCTCTTTGTTCTCCCACTCTGGGCCTTCCTGCCCATGCCAGCCCTGCGGAAACCAACCCCGCATCTGTCACTGCCATCCCTGCCCGAGGCCCTCTGCCTGCCATTACCCGCCAGCATGCTCATCTGTCCATTCTCCATTCTATCTTTTCACTTCTCCCGTTCCACCAGCAGCACGAGTAACAATGGAGGGAACTTCTCTCAGGGCCACTGCCGTCGGCCTGTTTGTGTTTCCAAGACGGCACAAATGCTTCTGATTTGGCTACCATGCTTTTCCAGTGCACAGACTGTCGCTTTGAGTGTTGTGAGGAGGGTGAGAGGGTCCCCTCATGCCCTATGCGTGCGACAGCGACAAGGATGTGCGTGACCCTGCAGTTGAGATGACGTTCGTTCTTTCCTCCCGCGGCTGAATTCCCACATCGTCTCAGCGTTAGACTGCTGGTGAGAATGATATTTGCATTGACTGCATTTATCAGTAGGTATTCTGACTTGCGTGAGAGACTCAACAAAGCACAGGACATTTTGGGACCTGGCAAATTATTTTCAAATCCAATCCACAGTGCACCTATCGATGAAGTATTGTAACCTGTTTTTATCAGCTTTTACATTACATTTTACACTTAATGCAGCACATTGTTAGTTTTTGTAGTTATTTGTTTGTCCCCACGGCATCATCAGCTTCTTTAGTTCCTTGGCCTTATATCACATATGAAGTCATAACATCAGCAGTATTATCGTTGTTGGTGCTACTAGCTAAAAGCTTGCGTGCACCCAGCTATATCTATGACAGCTTTTGTTCCCATACAGTTCAGTGAGAACCAGTACCAGCGTGGCCTCTGCTCTTTGATGTGTGCATGCAGGAGTTATGAGTACAAGGCCACTTCCCTGTTACTGTGACCTTACACTAGGGGCCAGGCAGGGTCGCAGGCCTCTGTGGAGTTATTAAAGGCCAGAGGGGACCGGGGGACAGTATCACCACTGTGTGCCACATCCTTCTCCACGGCGCTGCCTCCCTCCACCTTTCCCCCGCTCCTTCCTGGCCTCATGGCCGCTCCCCTGTCCAGGTGTGCCAGCAGAAACACACCAGGAAACAGAACATTTCCACGCTTCCTGTCTACATGGGCACATTACTCTTCGTCCTCTCTGAGCTCTACAGTACTGAAGGATGTCGTTTGAAAACATTTCCTAGTTCTTTTTTAAAAGACTTTTGACCGTCTCAGTTTCATAAGTTACTGAATGTTGCTCTCCCTGTCTATATTACCCCGTGGGTTTGCAAACACTACATTGCAGTGCAATTGGGAAACATATTTGAAGTGAAAACAGACTTTTATATTATTCCTATTATTGAGATTCTTTTGGCAGGAACATGGTTTCTGCAAGTCAATGAGTATCATCACGTATAAGGAAGCAGTATAAGCATTCACAACCAAATACTGGCTGAACAGTACGTAAAACTGAACATCCAGAAATAGATATCACGCACATTTTTGTTATCACGGCATAGCGTAGGTGATTGTGCATGATGAATCAAATAAGTGTGTTACATACAAGTTTAAAGGGAGTTTTTCTATTTTGAATGCATTGCTCCCTTTTGCTTATGAGCCAACATCAATGACCAGTCAAACACTCTGACACTGTATGAGTCTGAAAATGTGGATTTTAGTATTTTTCTATAACATTTAACATTAATCACCAAACAAGCAACAATCATTTAGGTTTTGGAAAAGACTGTTTTTATATTAATTTATTTGATAAGAGTTTAAGTCAAAAGCTCATTTGATGGACAGTGTTGACAACACAAACAAAAAGTTGTCATTACATTTTGACTCGCATGTAGCTAAATTCTGATTGGTGCACAGAGATAAATTATATAATCTTTTTCCGACTGAGGCCCGCCCACTTTAAACCAGTGTGAAAAACATATGCACAGAAACATCTTCTATGAAATAACCAAGCTGCTCTAACTTTGGCCAGAAATACCGTGTTCTTGTAGGATCATATCGCTCAGAGTGAAAAGCTGCTTGAGAAAGTAGGTTCTTAGTTTTAAACTGAGTGGAATGACATACAGTACTCATGTTGTGGTGATCTAAAAGCATGCTGAAAGCAGAACGTAGAAGTGATGATGGTGACTGTAAGTTAAGGTTTTGGTTTCACACATCGCATTTGTAGAAAGTAAGGAACAATGGTGATACTAAACCACACTGTCTATAGAATAAATACAATGCTTTCCCCATTGCTTTGACATTTACACATGTGTTTCTATAGCTAGCGAGCTCTTTATCGATGTTCATCTTAAAATCTTTTTTGGTCTGAAATAGAGCACAATCAATATTTGACATCCTCTACGATGTATTCCCAGAAAAAAAAAAACAGTCCGCCCCCCCCTTCCACATTGCTCTCCCTTTTGTCTTTGTTCATTTGATTGATCAGATAAGCGTTCAGCTCTCATTTCAACTTGTGGCGGGTTGTTGTGGCTAATTAGCCTAGCAGTCTAGAGGCTTCCTCTTAATGTCACAACAGGCTTTGTTCAGAATCAGATTGGCCTATCTGTAGTACCACAGTGTGTGTGTGTGTGTGTGTGTGTGTGTGTGTGTGTGTGTGTGTGTG